TTGATGCATGCTTAAAGTTTGCTGACAATATCCTATCTGATTGTACTCATCCTCTACACGCTAGCTTGTGTGCATGCACATCCCACCTCTGCACCCGTTCCAAGTACAAACTTGTCCCGTCTCGCATATCCGCATACAGAAACTCTTTGGTACCGTATCTTGCCCGGATAATGACCGACAAGGAAAGTGTTCGCTCTGAGCTTTCTAATGCATTTGGTAATTAACTCATACCTTTGTACGTTTTCACATCTCACTTTTCCCCCTGTTTTTGCCAGAATTGTAACGGTGGTCTATTTTTTGGCTGAAAGCTAATATATATAACTCGCTTAAGCTTGAATACAATCCAATACGAACCTATGGGATGAGAAAAGCATGAGTTTGTAAATTATTCCCATAAATCTTTAATTAGGATTTTGCGCTATCATCTACTTGATCACTGTGGGTATACTTCGATTGTGAAAAAGGAGTCAAGTTACCAGATCCGAAAACCCTTTCTATTGAATATTTGAAGGTGTGAAAGGATCACTGTTGAAGAATACTACGTTGGCGGAAAGGAAGTAGAGTTACAGATTGGTCTCAAAAAGAAAACGTTTCATTTTTTTCGGACGGTCTTTTACTTTGGTTACCTATTTGCGGTGGGACGTTTGAAGCAAATTTTTAGTATCTAAAATTTCACCGCAGCTAATGCCGGGGAAAGTGAATCTACATGTGGCATAAATAGTGTAAATCCTCTCTAGTTCGGCTACTAATAAGCAAAAAAGTAGTCAGTTGTTAAATGCGGTTTTCAAATCGTTTGGTTTTTCCTCCTGCTCTGTCTTTCTGAGGTTCGACGGCCCACATGTTTATCCGGTCGTTGGATTTCACTTGGTGCTCAAATTGGTAACGAATGCGTTGCGCGTATTCGCTGTGAGCGATCACAAACGACAACCATACAACGAGAGAACACTAAAATAATATCAGGACCCTCAGAAGTTTACTTCGAGCTCCCAGGTCCAAATCGATCGCGTTCAGTAGCTGTGATCAACAACCTATTATGCTATTCAGTCTCCATCCACACTGTATCCTCTTCGATTTAGTGGATACCGATTTTGACCAGGCGGGCACGTTGCTATTTCCTAGTTCCATTGAACGTCTTTCAAACTTGTGTTTCAAGCAAGTTGTCACGAGGCAGATGTGTTTTTAGACCGGTAAACAACGGAAATAGATCGTTTGGATCGAGAAATCAGTATTTCCTCGTTATTCAAGCACTGGTAAAAGCGATAAGAATGTCAGAATCATCAAAGATGTTCCCTACATACCGGGACAGCCATTTTGTGGAAAATCCTGAATAAGCGAGAATTTCTGGACAGCAGTGACGTATACAGTTTACTTCACCTACAAGTCATGATCCGACATCGATTTCACCATCGTTGAATACAGTCACCAAAACGAGAACGAACTCACACACATCGCTTATTTGCCATACACGAGTTCACTTGATCCGAATCCAGTCGAATGTTTCTGTGACCAACCCCTTGACGGAAACAGATCAGAGGTGACCATACACATCTTTGGGATAGTTGGAGACTGTCTGACCCGGTGGTAACACGTCACCAAATTATCACCCCGGAAGAGGGGCATGTGTTCGAATCTCACCACGATCATCGCCTGATTTTCCGCCTTTGTGTGTGTGGAATGAAAGCCATTTGATCGACCTGCTTCTAACTTCCTGAAAATGTTATCTTTGTGTATTGAATAAAAGGAAGTAAAAATGAAAGAAGAGTGAAACGAAACTGTCTACCACGAGATATTATTAAATGGCTATTAGGGAGCGTCATTAAACCGGTACATTTGGCTATATGACCAAAGTTGGAACAGGCTTGTTTTTTGGCCAACAGTGTCCAGAACGCAGCTTTATCGTTTTCTTCCTTGTGAGCAAGGAGTTGAGCCTTTTCGCATCATTATTTGGCAGATTATTTGGACAAGGATGTAAAAAGGTCCATCAACAGAAATAGAGCACCGAGGTCATGCATTGCTTATGTGTAGGTATTTGATAATGTGTCAGAGGGAGGAGATACAGATGATCCGAAACGGAATGGATATGTATAATCGAGTTGACGACAAAACGATCGATAATATGTCCGACAACGTTCCACGAGACAATCATCGTTGATGCATGTCACACTGCTGTTCATAACTTGATTGATGTTCCTAAACACTTTTCGTGAGGTGAGAGTTGGGGTGGCGCGGTAACCAAGGTAATCGTCATCAGTCTAAATCGGAATTTATTTTGTATCATAAAATGGCACGCAATATAGTGGTTTGGATTTTAGAGGAGGGAGCATTCAATCAGATCAGGTCAATGTTAACTTCCGTGCTAGATCTCGGGTTTCAGGGGCTCATCAAACATCATTCCTGTTGAACTGTTTAAGTTGTGACAACTTTCATTCATTCGAAGTTGTTTGGGTTTACCAAATTTGCTCTATTTTCTCATAGCTTACTCTTTCAATCAATCCCATTTCACGCGACAGGAAAGCATGATCAGTTTTGCTTTTTTTATTCAATCCATAGATCGCCATCCAAACGCCTCGTTCCCGTGCAATACTGTGAAGCATCTATGCGCAATGGTTTCGGTCTGGTCTATGTGCACCGGTTTTTCAGTGTCCCATTTCTCTGTCTCAGACGATCCGTGCTTGAACAACAGCTTAAACAGACCCAGACCGAATTGGACGGAACTGTTCGAGCCCTGAGTTCCGTAGATGGACCGTTGGCCACAACCGATGAAGCCTATGAAACGTGAGTTCATTCGCACATGAGTGCACACGGTTTTTCTCACAGTATGTGACATATTCCGTATGCAGAACCAGTAAGCACAATGGGTAACCAGTACCGACGACCTGACAGCCAATTGGGTCTCTGTCTTTGTTTTTACCAGAATCTTTGTTATCGTAAAATATTGATTCTGGTAAAAACAAAGACAGAGTCCCAATTGGCTGTCAGGTCGTCGGTACTGGTTACCCATTTTGCTTACTGTTCCGCATACTCGTCATCTTTTTATGGTTGTTTAACTAACTCTATCTGAAGCGTGCATCTAACAAAGTGTCGAGTTTATTCTCATTCCGTGCATTTCAAACACTCCAACACTGTAAAATTCACTGTTTAGGGAATCGCGTAAATTGGGATTAAATTTATGCCTTGTAAAAATTATTCTGCCAATCCGAAGCAGCACTGTTCCAATTGATCTATGATAGCGCATTTCACATCCCATTCGAACTTTATTGTTTATTAGTCCTGAATGAACTTTCGGTTTTTGGAAGGACATCATTGATGAACAAATGAGAACAACATTTTGAAGGATCAAAGTTGTTCGCATCCTGCGCTGCATCCTTTTATGGTACAATTGAGCATATAGTTGAACAAAACATTCCACACACACACACACACACACACACACACATATATATATATATATACATTCAACTGACCAGGTCTGTTTTGATATCCAAAGTCCCCACCGGTACACAGGATGTGTGCAGAGTTCAGTTCATCGATCCTTTTGTATTTCGTTTCCTGGAACGCCTGAATTCCAAAGTTCGAGTGATAATTGAAACATCATTCTATTCCAGAGGGACACAGTTTGTTTGTACTGAATAGTCTTCGCTTTGTCTAATCTGGGGCGTTTTCAAAATGCGACGTGTACTGAGCAGCAGCTCTTTGCCCGACGCGTCGAAATTTCTCCTTTATTGCGGAATACAAAATCACTTTTAGTCTCTGCCTACTAACTGCTAAGCAGTAGCACAATGATATTTTCAAAAATAATTTAGTCTACATGCTAATATAACCTGTCATGTTGACACGTCATCACCTTGGTCGAGTCGCTTCTTAGTGTGAGACAGTTAAAAAAACGAAATATTCAATACACCCAAACTACTCCTTTTGCACGGAGTGTATATAGATTGAATTTTGGAGAGTCTGCTTTACATCCCTCAATGTTGTCTGGATGTCACAAAAAATTATCTGTATTTTTGTTGGAAAATGTTCATTCGATGCCGTCGATGGTATAAGGTGTTACTCCAATGTACGAATATACGAATCAGAGTCTTGTACCACATTTAGTATAGTGGGTTCGGTTAGGNGTTAGGCACCCCATATGGTCACAGAGTTTCGTTCGTAGATCGTAGATCATGTCAGTAGTGGTTCCACGCGTCAGAACCATCGAAATTAAATTTCTTTTCATCACTGAAATTGACATACCGCCATGATTTTTTCCGATTCATAGAAGTTTCTGCCTAAAATAATCACTTTTTTGGTTTGGTAAGCTATTAGAGCTATGCACCTTCTAAATTTCTTTTATTTTGTCCAAGGGACCGTTTTGAGTGGTTGTTATATCCATCGCGTCGAAATTTTCAACTCAGACGGCGTTTTCATCTTCGAGGATGCACGGAGTTTGAGGCCATTCTTATCAATCTGCGTTTATCTTTCCACCGAGAGTTTTTCTNATCGGTTTATAACATAAAGATCACGTAAGGTATCAATTCTGAATTTCTCATGATTAGTAAGCCTGTTCCAATATGTCATGGATGGTAGTGCCGCGTAGTGACTTACCTGGATGTGTTTGTTCTTTCAAGGTCATTGAAAGTGACGGAATCATATGGTCATCGTCACTAGGGTGTCACATGACTCTAGTTTACACCAGTCTGTCGACCACTGACTCATCACGGATGCCAGTTACCAAGCCGAAGTACGATCTCGGGATGTTTATCGCATCTGTTTTTGAACCCAGTTGGATGTCTGGAGTTCATGTTGACGGCAGTACTTTTTTCGCGGTGATAATAGTTTTCTTTTTAATATACCTTCATTAAAAGAAAAATTAATTTGATGAAATCTCATATTTCAGCTTTTCATTTGGATGCCATCTAGATCCTGAAAAAGTGGAGATTATCGTGCTAGGGTGTGTTTGTGTGTGTGTACGTGCGTGCAATACTTTTAACGCGGGGTTTATTTGTATTCCACTATATCAACCATCCACAATGGTGTGAACCGTAAAATCTCACAAGACTTAGGGTCTACTATCAAAATGGGTTTATCGAATTGTCACAGATTTGCAGATAATAATAAAAACATACTTCAAACTGTGGGGTGATCCGGTAGAGACAAGGCATCTGAAAACCGTGCAGTCAAGTCAGCATAAGGGAAACAAGCGACATAATCCAAACGTCTTGTGACAAATGATACCAACAGTGACTGGTACACTCTATGCACACGTGAACGTTAGAAACTAGTGATCAAGAGTGACCAATCAAATGTAAGGTGTCCAAGGTCAAGATTTTGTAATGCATGTGCGTACGCACGTTTGCGTGGAGTTTTGTCCGGGTCAATTGTGTGTGTGTGTGTGTGTCTAAGGTTCAGGAAGATCAAACTGTTAGTCAACGGATTATTCAAGTGTCTGTTTGGGTGACAGAGAAAAGAGGGAATGGATCGAATTCGGCTAGAGGTGATGCACGGATCAGCTAATCAATAGCGGATAATCTGGGCATAAAAGGTTTGTGATAATCGACAAAGAGCACTGGACAGCTGTTTCGTCCTGCTTGGGACTCGCCAGCAATGCGTACTTTTTGCGTCCCTGTCAGAACTGGAACCGAAAACAAAACAGTGAGCTTTGTCAGTTATCGCAAACATTTCCATCGCATGTAAATGCATTCAACTTGTAGGTAATTAACGATCTCCTAAGAAGCGAAACCCACACCCAAGACTATCAAGGGTGCTTGGTGCCTGTGAACAGTTGAATAGGCGAATCCAAGCTTGCTGCTCTAAAACGCATACAGGAGTCGAAACCAGTTATTTGGAAATAATCGATAATGGGAACAACGGAGTTGGTGTAAGGTTGGATGGAATCATCCCTGATAAGCTGGCATGCATTCGAAACCATTCTACTCTGTAGGATCTTGCATACAACTCACATGGATGGTATAACTTACTTATGCCCCCAATCGTGGTCGTATAATGTGAGTGCTACGTTGAACAGGCATAGCATCTTAACGACTCGTACCAAATCGGTCCGTCAATGTGTTTGAGTGCTTCAGTAGAGTGGGAAGTATGAGTTTGCAGTGAATTACTTCGTGCACAAAGCAAATGAATTGGAATAACTGGGATGCATTCATCATCATCATCATGATTTCATCATCAACTTTACGAATCCATCTACCCATACGGAGGCCTCACCGGTAGAACGTAAACATACCACCCACCTAACAGTTGATCAGACCGTTCTATATTTTGCCTGTTCGTGAGATAGCACGAACCATCTTTGCGAGTATCACACCTCACTGATCTCTGCACTAGCCTCCAGGTTTATGACTGGGTTGGAGACGTTCTCAACCAAATTACTTTTACTGCAAGAGTGGATTGATGGATTCGATTCGACTGGCTGAAGAATTTCGTCATGTACAGAGATATACCGGAAAACGTCTCTGTAAACCGAAGTCTTGTTTAGCGGTTAATGTCGCTTCCGTTCGGACTTGAGGTTTACTTCCACCAATCCGGTTCTTATAATACACCAGCGTGTCATAATTATTCTCCAGCCCCCTCCTTCTCCTCTTTTTTTGCCCTCCCCCCTTCCGAAAACGGCGAAGTGTATCAAAGTAAAGTCGCCTTTTTGTCAAACCGTTAGGAACAGAACATCTTTTTTGCCCCACTTTTTACACGTAAGACAGTTGTTGACGCGGTTCATCCACTATGACTCCTCCCATAATTTAAGTGTAGATGTGCGCGCGAGAGGGAGAGAGACCCAAAGAATTCAGGTCGTATTCTTTTCCATGCCGGAAACTGACTGTGAACAGCACCGACAAATGCGATTTTTGTTTGACCAATGATCTTTACGTCACTGGAAACACATTAGCACTTTTACGTGATCGATTGGAAACAACACGGAATGCAAATCGAACTTGGATTAGAATTACTTTGCATGAGCCATCAGGGGATGCAAACTGTGCCTGGATGTACCTGGTGTGCATACCTGCGTAACCGTACGATCTACAGTGGATGGGTGCTCCCTGCCACACGTGCAAATGATGCCTGAGGAGTTCTTGGGTTTAGGTCTCACAAGGCCAGTTGTTTAGGCACCTCTTGGTTTTCTTTGATTGTATGAGCATCATTTTTCTTTTACCTAGTATACTAATGTACGATCAACTTTCAGGAAGGAGACTTCGGTCATGCAAAGGCTGTCAGGGGAAAATATAGGAATTGGGAAGACTGTTGGCAGAGAAGGGTTTCTAGCCTGGGACTCCAAGGTCACAATTTGGTGGCCTAACCACTTGGCCACTACCACTTTTATTCCTGGAAAGTCAACTCCAGAGAAGAAAAGAAAAACGGTAAAACAACTCCGCTAGATGAACGTATGGTCGAATTACACGGGGCCGCTTCCCGACCGGGGGGGGGGGCAATTAGTAGTGCTTGATTGAACAATTGCCGCTCGGTTAGGCCAAACAGACCTTCGCCAGTAAGATGCTGTCTTGTTCAAGTTTCGTTTATCTCATTGAATGCACGTTTGAATCCATCTTTCTGGCCAGGGTTCCCAAAGGAAAACCCGTTCATCAGTTAACAAAATATTGGTTCACCAATGTTTCATCACCTTGGCTGGTGATGAAACGTTTGCAATCAAATGGCAAAGCTCGGCGAACAGGTGGAATGGAATCCCGTTCGTCAGTATTTTGTGCCTTAAAGTGTTAAAAGCTCACCTGAAATGCTCGCATTTCTCTGATTCTATATGTTGCCCTTAAATCATACGAGATGCTTCGTGTT